TAGTTAGAAAATTAATAAAGCTGCTAAGTAACACAGTGAATTGTGAAGCACAGTCCATTAACAGCCTGTTAATTAATTTTGAGGAACAGTGTTAGGAGATAATCTAGTGTCACTATTTCTGACAAGACACTGACTATATCCTCTTCTCTTCCCCAGGAACAGTACCAGTTTCTGTACAAAGCTATTCTCAGCCTTGTCAGCACAAGGCAAGAAGAAAACCCTTCAGCATCTATGGACAGCAATGGCTCAGCTTTACCTGACGGAAATGCAGCTGAAAGTTTAGAATCTTTAGTTTAATTAACACATCAAATTAAACACACATACCTGTGTCACACCAGGTGCAACTGGAGTTTACCATTGTTATTTTCAGTTTTATACCTGTGGGGGGAGGACTCTGTCCAGTCACTATATCTATAACCAGATCCCAACCGTTGCTCAGTCATTTCTGTTACATATGACTTTACTGTGGAACTTTTATCATTAACAATGTGTGCCTTTTCTTGGAAGATTTCTTGTAATATGTTGTTACGTCTGGACTAACTTAATTGACTTTTACAGTGTTTCTAAGAATTGAATTGTGGTATGTTTTTTCAGTATTAGTTTTTGATTTATCTGGCTTTACTTTGAACTTAAAATTATCATATTTATAGATGTTAGGGATTCCCAACTACAAACATGTCATGGGTTTAGTATTTGATTGATTTGCTGTATTTATAACAATTTACATTTGCTAGAAATATAACTTTTAATATAGTAGAATGTAAATAAAATACTGTTCTCCATAACATTCAACATTTTAAGACTTCAATTAGAGATTTAGAATAGTAATCTGATACTTACTGTAAATACTGCTACTTCTGTAGTGATCCACGGACCAAATTTATATTTATAATTGTAGATTTTTATATTTTACTACAGAGTCAGTTTTCTAGTTCTGTGTAATTGCCTTGTTAAAATGCTGTAGTCCAGTATGTTTTTATTTTAACAAAGTCTTCTGATATATAATTGTGCATCTTAAGCAACTAATCTTCATAAAGCTGCATGTGATTTTAACTTTTTGTGGGAAATAGAAATCATTTGTTTTGAAACGAGAAGTTTTTATGAGAATAACACCTGTACTTGGCATTGTTAAATTGTTTTTACCTATGGCATTACAAAAATAAATATAAATATTCCAGTCTGTGCTTAGCAGTCTTCCATACACAGTAAGGAGTCGTCACTGTCACCTAGGAGGGGTTTTACTTACAAGAGCAAGGACTCAAGGCTGACCTGCAGACAGCTGCTGTTCCCATGGACTCTGTGAGTTCAGAAGAGGCTTTTGGAAAACTCTTTTGTTATTTAATCTCTCCTCTGCTTCCACCCCTAGCCATGGTGTTCACGTTAGCTCTTATTTTAGCTTTTCCTTGCACATCTCCTGTCTGGTCCCACAAGGTTAATGGGATGTCCCAGGCCTCCAAATTGCTTTAATTGTCCCCTCATGAGACTTCTCCATGCTGCCTTTGCTTCAGATCCTCCATTTAGGTGCTGAGCTCTTTGCTGCCTCCTTTGGCAAAGCAAAAGACAAACTTTGGGAAGCAATTAAGCAGGTAATCTCTGCAAGAGCAAAAGCAGAATGTTTCAACTTGGTTGCTCAATTGTTTTCTTTAACCTTCTGAACTGGAGAGAAAAGATGCTGATTGTACTGAATGTTGCAGCACTGAGGAGCGTAGGAGCCTGGTGCAGAATAGAGCTTTGTTTTAACACAGCCCTGGAGTAACTGTTTTCTCACTTTTCAGTTGCTATGTAGAAATACTGAGAGAAGAGATGATACTGCTCTGGACGAGACCACCACAGAAACTAATGGACAATATCTTAGATAAAAACTAAGGGTAGGGGAAGAGAAGACCTGAAGCAGGCTTGGAGATTTTAATCAACTGATTCCTAAGGCAAGGGTGTATGAAAAATCGTGTCAGCAGATAGATCTAGAACCCTTCAGCAGTGTAGAACTGAGGATAAGTGGAACTGAGACAAAGCCAAAACAAATTTGGGGTTAGAGGAATCTAAACAGTAGAAACTTCAAAAAGTCCTCATAATGTTGATACATTATGAATGGCAGGAATGACAGAATAGCTAGAAAGTTCAGCAGAACTTTTCCTGCTCTATTCTTCTTTAAGCAAAAATAATCATGTGGACAAAACAATTAAAACAATGTAATGTATAGTTAGTTTTGTAAAGCTTATTAGCATGTAAATGTGCTTGAATTCTCTTTTACACTTGACCACTCCTCTTCATAACCCCAGCAGTGCAGTCCCAGAGGTTATGAAGTGGTTGAATCCATTGGACTTGAGGCCCTGGGGCTTCCCCTTCCCTGTTCACCAGTGCCGAATGCAGGGCAATTCTCCTGTCTCAGCCCATTTCCAGAAGGGGACTGAGGTACAGCTAAGTGCAAGTGAACTTACATTGTATCCCTAGCTAAGTTAAATGTCTTTGAAGAATAGGACCTAGAGTTTTTTTCTCAATGTATTTGTGTTGGTTTGGGGGCAGCAGGAGTTACAAATGTACAGAACAGGCTCATTTTCCTGAATGACACGTTTCTGTAGGACTGTTGAATTACACATACATATTCTTCACAGCTTTCAGGCACCAAGCTGGTGTGTACAAAGGTGTGTAATAGTTTGTCTTTGAGGAAGGGTATATCTTCTTTTTCTAGGTGGCCTGGGGCTTCTTCACCCCCTCCTGTAAGCACTTGGGTTGGCCAACACCCTCCATTTGCACACTGAGGCTAGCAAACAAAGCGACAATATGTAATTCCCCCTTCTCCTTCCAAAACCACAGAAACAATTTTTCCTTTCCTAATCTCTAGGGGTGCCTTATGCAACAGGTTAATTGTGATCTTATGGCCATTTCAAACCATATCCCATAATCTTCTTAGTATAGACTTCTGCTCTTCAGTACATAGCAAGAGAAACTCATGCTCATGTGCTACTTCTGCCTTTTCTTTAAGAAAACTGGCTTTTAGCCTCAGATAATTTCATGCTTTTTTTATTGAGATCTTTTATTAATGTATTTGGAGTTTCATAGAGTTCTATACACAAAGTCTTTTTTAGGCCAGTTAATTCTATGATGTTTTCCAAGCCTCTGTGGACCAAAAGCAAAAAGATCCTCCTTCCTAAAATCCCATCTTGATATAACTGTTCCTTTCAACCTAAATGTTTTGCAGACATTTTAAAATGATAATCCAAGGAATCAGCTGTCATTCAAGGTTTCTTCCAGAGATGTTTGTAATCACAGTCATCATCTTGTCAGCATGCTAAGTTATTTAAAACATAAGTGCTTAGGATAATCTCTTTACTCACACATATTGGTTCTGATCTAGAAAAAAATAAGAATCATAAAAAAAAATCTTCTATAATCTTCAACCATGATGGATTACAGATTTTAATAAATGCGTGTGTCAGTTCCTGTCGCAGACAAAAGCCATATTCTAATTAATTTTTTTTATTGTAATCCAAACTACAGACTCACATAGCCTGCCTTTTCAAACTGGGTCAAGTGTGGAAAAGATGTTATGTATCTCCTGCAAGAAGTGGGATATTAATAAACAACATCAGTTTCAGATTACTATGTATTTTTACAAATCATGTGTGCCAAGAAAAACTTGGTAAGTGAGATTCCTGCTAAGAAATCATAGGTGAGTAGAGTTAAAAAAAGAAAAGTAATCTACTAACATCACCAACTTGTCAGTGATTGTGGTGTTGAGGTTTAACACCTATGGAAAGCTTTACAAAAGTCATCAATAAATGATGAACAACAGTCATATGAACTCACAGCAATCAGTACAACAGGATACTACTTAGTATAGACTTTGGAAATCCATTGACCAAACTAGTTAGCAACATTCCATCACAATGTTTTACCTGCACAGTTTGTCATGATATCCTGAGATAATTCGGGCTGAAATGGGCAAGTGAGATACCAAGATTTCATCTCTTATAGGGGCACAGGGAGATATGATTATAAAATCATAGAATGGCTTGGGTTGGGAGGGACCTTAGAGATCATCTAGTTCCAGCCCTCCTGCCACAGGCAGGGATACCTTCCACCAGACCAGGTTGCTCAAAGCCCCATCCAGCTTGGCCTTGAACAATTCAAGGGATGGGGCAGCCACAGCTTCTCTGGGCAACCTGTGCCAGTGTCCCACAGTGAAGAATTTTTTCTTAACACCTAATGTAAATCTCCTGTGAGTTTAAAGCCACTCCCCCTTGTCCTGTCACTACATGCCCTTGTAAAAAGTCCCTCTCCAGCTTTCTTGTAAGCTCCTTTACATACTGGAAGGCTAACTTCTCTTCTGCAGGCTGAACAAGCCCAAGTCTCTCATCCTGTCTTCATAAGAGAGGTGCTCCAGCTCCCTAAGCAGCCCCGTGGCCTCTGGACTTTGGATTCTAACAGGTCTATGACCTTCTTATGTTGGGGACCCCATCTACTGTTTGTTCTGTAGCTTTCTGATTCTGTAGCTATCCTTGTGCCCAAGCACAGAACATGTGCTAAAAAGCCCACATCTCAAGATTATAGCTGAAGAGGATGTCTAGATAGAGATACATGTATATAAACATATAGATGGGTAGTCAATGTGGGTGCTTAAAACAAGCCTTGAAGGGTCTTCTCTGGTGATTCTAGTGAGAAGTATGAAAGGCATTTCATGCACACAGAGAAGTCCATTTGTAGACACCTTTTTCAATATAACCATCTACGTAAAATTCCAAACCCCATTCATATACATCTCATTAGACTGTAAAGATAACATGACAATAAAACAGAGGATTTCGGATTTATTTTTCAAGCAATCTGTAAGATACAATTTTCTTTCAATAATATGCAAAGATAGCTGAGAAATTTCATACAAGAAGCTGAGCAATAAATTCATTTAAATCTAAACTTAGAAAACAAAAGCAGCACTGCACTGGGAAACAAGAACACATTCCAGTATAAAACGTTTCAAAAATAGCAGTGTCTTTTTGAAGAAAGCACTCTGTAGTGGTTCTCCTTTTAGTGCTCCAAAGACATTACATACCTGTAAAGCATTCTAATTTTCTTTGCATACTGCATTTCCCAGGCAGAAAAGCAAGCAAGGTAGATGCATATATAGAGTCACAACACCATGGTTGTGCATTTTGGCGACAAAGGAGGGAACAGAAAAGTCTTCAGTGAATTCCTTGTCTCACCAAGCACTGAACTGGAAGGTACCAACAGATACAAGTCTATTTTTAACCCTTAGTTGTAGGCTTTTTAACCCTTAGCTGTAGGCCTTTAATCTACCAGGGGCAGGAGGAGGCAGCAGGGAGTGGAGTATTTGCTGCCGGCTCCATCCTTACCCCAGCTGCAGGCATCAGCTGTACAACAGACCCCAGCCTCTAAGGTCAGTTTGGAGAAAAGCAACTTAGTGGACCCAGGATTTCATCAGAACATGTTTGGCACTGTAACAGAATCCAAATTTGACAGTATAAAAGCATCCACTTGTTAAGCATAAAAAGCCCTCCTCTTCATTCTTCCTTCTCTCTTTGGCTCCTTTCACTCTCCTCTGTTGCAGTTGCTACTTCATTACATCTACACAAAGAAAATCCAACCCTGAGTAACAAGACATAGAGACCGAAACTTCAGCTATTTTTATGGATGCTTTTCCTAACGGGCAGAACACCACCTGGAGTTCCAGCCCCTCAGAACCATGGTAACAGCACTATGCTTCTCAGGAGATAAAAGTCTGTGCGTTTTATCAGCAAAGTGCACTTGTGAACAAACCTGAAAGCAGACAGATTCCAGTATCAGTGTTCAGCTTTAGAAAAGGGGAGCTCCTGGCAGTTGCACAGGTACCAGTGCAAATGGTATCTGCCCATAGCATGACACCTCACAGACAGAGGCAGTGAAGTCTACGCCATTCTTGCATTGCCAAGCAGTGTAGAAATCCCTGAGCAAAACCCACAGAAGCAGCCCTGAACTGGCTGGAGGCTGTTTTGTTGGAGAAAAACTGCACTCAGGTTGAAGTCCAGTTCTGGGCTGACGCAGCTAAACTGCCCCTAGAACCCCATTGGCACCTCTGGGCAGCACCACACAAGCTGACACACTGGCAAACTCTCATCAGACTAAAGTGGCACTGTACTGAGCAGTACCGATAGGCTCCCAAATAAACACTTCAATAGTCTGATGGCAAAACAACAGAAGCTAATTCAAAAAGTAGTTATTTCAACCTCTAAGTCTACTGTATTTCAAAGCTGCTTATAACTACACAAGTATTCTCTTTGTAACCATAATTAACCTGAACAGAGCACACAGTGTAAGCGGAAAGAGTAAACATCATTTAGAGTAGCTTCTAAGCACATTAACTGTGTGTATTTCAGAATGCCCTTCCAAGCTGCAGAACTAAATGCTAATGAGCTGTCTGCATGGCACAAGGCAACACATAACAGCAGGTATTTCAACATATTGCAACCAGATTCAACTCTGTAATGGGAAAGGGTATAGAGAGAGGCTTGCTTTAAACTTCCTCCTCCATGTAATTTAAGTTTACATTAATAAGAACAGGATTTAAAGAATATTATGACCTAGATTTCTAATATTTAACGACTGAACATTTTCGAGATCTAACAGGATCTTGTTTGCTACTACTGCAGAATTCCTAAACTATTTCTTGCATATTGTTATCGTGAAAATATTCACAAATACTGTTAAAGGGACAAGACTTAAAATTTAAGTATTGCTTTCATCTCTTTTGCCTGAGATATTTCAGGAAAGCTATAAGGAAAGATCTGATTGATGTTAAAACATGTACATGAAAACACAGCAGTTTTAAGAGGAAATTCATGCATTTGGTTATCTGCAGTGAGAGTCAGGCAGCTGGATTTATGGAAGGTGTCATCTGTGTGCAACGGCAGGGACTGCCTTTGCTGGTTCAAATTGAGATTGTTAAAAGGTGGGAGAGAAACCAAAGAAAGCCAAAACCCGATCTGATCCACTGCTTCCCTTGTTAATGTTTGACAGTGCTGTGAGTACTGTACACAATGCCTTCTGCCTGAACACGTTCAAGTATGGGTCCGTAGACATTCTTCGTCAATGGTATAACCATGCCTTTGGCATCTATTTCACCTGAAATAAAGGTAGGGAAAGAAAGTGTTAAGTACTCTACTGTGATTATTCGGCAAGGTTTCCGTAACAGGGAGGCTGTGGGGCAGCCTCTGAGGCCATTCCAGACAGCTCCAACCAATCCACTGCAGGGCACAGCTGAGACCCTTGGCCAAGGTGGTGGTGAAAATGTGTTTAAAAAAGGCCAGAAGAACTGCCACAAAGGTGTAAGTAGAGCGAAAAAAGTGTGAGAATGGCCCTGCAGACAGAAAGGCTGGAGAAGGAGGATGGGAAGGAGGTGTTCCAGGTGCCAGATCAAAGATTCCCCTGCAGCCTGCAGAGAAGACGATACTGGAAGCAAGGGAAAAGCATGAGGTGGAAGCAGCAGCAGACAGGAGCTGCTATGGACTGACCACAGGCCCCATTCCACATCCCCCTGTCCTACCTGGGACAGAGGGAAAAGGCTAAGGAGTCAGCAAAGGAGAAGTGAACTGCAGCCTGGGAAAACCAGGTGGAGAGGAAGGTGGTGTTTTGTCTATTATGTCTTTTTTTCATACCTATTTTAACAGGCAACAAATTAAGCTTTTTTTCTCCAAGTTGAGTCTGTTTTGCCTGTGACAGTAACTGGAAAGTGATCTCCCTGTCTTTATCTCAACCCATAAGGTTTTTCATTTTGTTTCCTCCCCTTGTCCTGTTGAGGAGGAGGAGTGAGACAGCAGCTGGGTGGGCAACTGGCAGCCAGCCCTGGTTGACACACCACAAATGCAAATATCAATTTGCAGCTAAATAAATTTTCATTTTTGTATTTTTTTCATATGTATATATGCAGATATATCAATCCTAGTACTATGCTCTCACACAGTATCAGTACTGTATCAAAGAATAGGAAAAAAAGTGTTTGAAACATAGAAGCATACACAGCTTGAATCTAATTCACAGAGCTGTGAAACTGCAGTTAGGTGAAAAGTATCTAAACTTCAAAAGTTTGGGGTTTCAGTTTTTTTAAATAACAAAAAAACAAAAATTACACAACAAATTTTTGCTCATTTCAGTTAGCCAGAAGAATGAAGTTATAAAGATTAAGAGCAAACAAGGGGAAATCAGTATTTCCTTACACAGGGTGATGACTAGGCAGAGTTTGTCTGTTTATCTATACACAACATGATCAGGTAATATTCCCCAAGCCTCAAATTTCATCAATCCAGAAAGCAGTAGTGGAAGTCACTAGTTTGTTCAGCACAGGTATATGTTAGCCTGCTTCACTGTGGCACAATCAATTGTAATTTGCTATGCCAAAGGTCTCCTCTACACCAGTGAAACATTTAAGACTACATCATCTATATATTAAACAGTAAATTAAGAGTTGTCACTGAAACAAACATGCAGATTAAAAATTCCTGTAAAGAAGATAAGAAAATTTTCATAAATTTTAAAAATATACATATATACACATTTGCAAAACACCATGCATTTGCTTTCTACAGGCAGAAAGATACAGGGGATTGAAATACTGTTACTGAAGTCTGAACAGCCACTTACCATCTAGAACCATCTTAGCTGCAATAGCCGTGGGGTATCCTACTGATTTAGCCATTGCAGAATACCCCTTGCTGTCACCATAGACAACCAGATCAATAAACTTTTTCTCCAAATGACCAGAAGGATGCTTGAGACCTATTTCATTTCTCATAACAATCATATCTCTCTCTCCAGTGCCTAAGAGAAAAGCACACAAACTATTAATTACTTATATTTCAGTCACATCACGACTGATATGCAAGGCACTATGCATACACGGCATGTGTATCGGAGGTGACTTACGATACAGACTATTAAGGAGAACAGAATGTTAAGATGAAATTAAAAATATATCAGGGAAAGAAAAAGATAAATTGGGGGACTAGAGAATATCACAAAACATCCAAAACCTAACATGAAGGTTTATTAATGAAGGTGAACAAACTACTCCAGTTAAGGCTGATAAGAGAGACTGGCTTGTTCTACTAAAAGCCTTGAAAAAAAAATTCTTCACATACCAAAGGGCAGCTTTATCTCCATGTGCTTTGCAAGAGCTCCCACAATGGAATCTGCTGCCGGAACCGGTTCATCTCCCAATAAACCTAGCCTGGCAGAAGAAATGAGACAGGCTTATATCATTGCTTACCAACAGCTTAGTCTCAGTTTTGTAATTTCCAGCTTATATCAGTTTAACAGCCTCAACATGGAACAAAATGGCTAGAATTGCAAGGCCCAACAAACTTTAAAAATCACTGGAACATTTACCATTCCACTGCCTCCAGCTGACTTTGATCCTTTTCCAGTTTGCTAAATACAGCTTCTTTAAGAACATCGTACTCAACAGGCTGCTTAATTCCAACCAGTTTGCACATGAGCTCTTTCTGTATTAAAAAAAAAAAAAAGTTCCTGAAGGGCTGACATCCATCTCCACTCTTTTTCAGTCAAGGTTTCAAGAACACTGCTCCATTAAGCTCACCTAATATCTAGGACTTCTGAGACGAGTTACGGGTACAGAGAAAGTGTGATAGTTTGAGATTTTTTAACCACAACAAATGAGAATAAGGCTCATCTTTTCCTAAAACACTTTGTTCCCCAACACCAGCTGCTTCCCCCTACTTTTTAGTCTTATCCCTTCCTCTGGCAGTGAAGAACACAGAAATCTGCATAAACAAGGAACACTGGGAGGATGTTAGGGTGAAAGGGAAGCCACCTGGAGACAGCCAGAGCGTAGGGGACTCAAGGATATCTTTCAGCTGGTCTAGAAATGGAGAATATCCCTTTCAAAAGGAAGGAAACAAACTGAAGAGATTAACAAGGCTCTGTCAGTCCTGGGAATATTACCAAAAGTTTTCTGAAGACTTTTGTGCATATCTGAAGGCCATTTTGTGCTATCTAGATGCTAATTATTACTTGCTTCATTCACAGCAACATGAATAATAAATGAAGTTATGAACAATATATGAAGCAAGAAAGAACTGCAGAGTCTGTTTAGAAGCTCAGGCTAGCCTATCTCCTCTGCTTCCCACACAGAGTTGGCAGAAGGAAAGCACTGATATATAACAATATTGCTGAGACGAGGTTTGCAGTGAGACTGATGAGTTCATTGTTATTTTCAAACATGCCACTGCATACTTATTCCTTGAGGTTACAAGGACTGGAAATTCTAGCCATCTCTACAAAGAAAACTTGAAGATATCAACCCTAAAATCAAAAATGGAAAAAAAAAAAAAAATATAAAAAAAGAAGCAATTCCCATATGGGTAGATGAGCAGTGCTGTAAGCTAGTCAGAGACAAGCCAGGCTAGGCCTCTCCACCTTGTGCTTTCTCAGTTTTGAGAACACTCAAGACACTCTTAACTTGAACTAATGACATCATCAGAAAAATTCTGTGCTCTCCTCAGACCATCACACAGCACAAGCCTGGTGTCTTTTTCCAGGTTAATGCTGACAAAATCACAAGGAAGGAAACAGGAAACAGCTGTATTTTGTTCGTCTGAGTAATAGTTACTCTCTCAGAGGTTTGCAAAAGGGAAGAGAAATTTCTTACAAGATAGGCAAGCAGACCTGACAAGTAATAAGCTGTCGGTTCAGTCCTCTTTATACCATACTGAAATCTGGAATTCTCTGCTTTGCCCACAAAGACAAAATGTTAATTGTCAAATATAACAGCAGTACATCACACAAGCCATACTTTAGCTGAGATTTTTAAGATGTAAGTGAAGTATCAACAAGCAAGACAGAAAAAGCAATACCATCAGCACTCAAGTCAGCCAGGGCTTTGCCTAGCCGAGTCCTGAAAATCTCCAGTGTCACAGATGCCAGAGTCTCCCTGGGAAACTTGTTCCAGCACTGTATTACATTCCTGCTGAAGAAAATCTTCCTGATTTCCAGAAACAAAAACCAGAGATGACCAGGATGCAATGCATGATTCCCAATTCTAAGCACACCCAAGCCTAGAAATAGCAAAATCATTAGTAAAACAGAGGAAAGAAGGCAGAGCAATCAGAGTAACTCACCCAGGTTAGAGGTGGAGTGGTTGAGTTTAGCAAAGGATATGGATCTGGGCTAATTAATCCTAGTTTTACAAAGCCTCCCATAGTTTTGGAGTATCCCTGAAACAAAAGAATAATATGGTTAAAACTAATATTCACTTGAAACTGAGGCAAGTATTTCTACTTGTTTTGAATGCAGCAGCGGACACAACCATGTTAGTGTTAACATTATTCCCATGGGAAGATAGCCACAATTAACAGGATGCCAGTGGGGTTACTGCTCCAGAGTGGTACCTTCCCCACACCCTCTCTACCCTTCCCCTACTTTTTCAATACCCTCTTTAATGACTTCTGCAATCAATACCTCCATGGCAAGTAGCATTGGTACAAGAGATCAAAGGGCTAGTTCAAACTCCAGCACATCATTAAACACAGAGTTATATCAGCCAGCTGGCCCACAAACAAACCACGGAATACAGAGACTCCAGAGCTGAACTCTGGTCACCCTGGCTTTACACCAGTGTGATTATATGGACATCAGGTAGACTGATTTTAAAGATAAGAATCCTCTGTGTTTGTATCTTTCCTTCAGGAACATCAGAGACACAGGACACCGGAGGAATGGTATTTAAGAGGAACTGTAATGGCTGCAATAGGCAGCCAAAAAAGAATTTTAATGTGCACGATAAAAGAAGTCTCAACTGGTTTCTGCTTCTTTTCGTTTGCACTCCATTAACACTCCCACACAGCTGCTGGATACCTGAAAACACTTCCACGAAAGCGAAACACTGTAAAAAAGCAGACTGCTGGAAATAAAGCAGTCTGAAAGAGAGCTAATTATAATTAGGAGCCACCTCCACCAGCACTAGGTTATCAGTTTAGATGGCTTTTAGATATCCTTCCGTGAGATCTCTTTTTAAACTGACTCCATTAGCTAGCTGAAATTAATCTATGAAAGACACTCTGAGGAGATGCTAGCCTCCGCACTGAATGTCAACATTAACTTCTGCCCTGCCCAGCACTATGTTCTGGTATGCAGATACCAGGCAGGTAGAGGCACGGCAAGTTCTTCCATACAACCCTACCAACATCACACCATCCCAAAGTGATAAGCCTGCTCTGGGGATAAAGAAAACAACACAAGAAAACAACACTAGCCACAAAATCATCATTCTTATAGCACACTGGTAACAACTCTTTGTGCTACCCCGACATTTTGCTTTTCTTTGTGCTAACTCTTACACAAAAGAAGAAGATTTTACCAGCCCCCCAAATGACAGACTTACTGTCACAGTAAGATTCCGTAACTACATAGATGCCTTCCACATATTTTTAGCTTCTGAACAAGATATCATAACTAGACTGATAAAAGGAGAGCTGATGCAGTTTGTAACCCTTATTCCCCCACAATGGCCTTCCATCTTCCTTTGCTAAGCATGCATCCCAACCTCCCTCACTCCCAGAAATGAAGAAAAATCCTGCTGTATTGCAATAGAGGAATTAAGAGTGAAAAGACATATACACGTCTCAAGCCATGGACAAAATAACAACTTATACTTGACATAAACCTTAACTCAATAGGCATATCATCACATTCATAAAAGCTTTTTTTAAATCTTCAGTATGGTTTTAGGTTTATTCCTTCTTAAGTTATACTGACCAGCAAAAAAAATAAAAAAGAAGTCAGTTTAACAAACAAAAGGAATAGTGTCTATCAGTTAGAAGGAAAACACATCAAACATTTTATTTAACTGACTGAAAAGTTAAAGCTGCTCAAATTCAAGATTTCCAGTTACTTAATGAAAAACATTTGCCGTTTGATGAAAAAACATCATTTCCTGTAAGATTTTTACATTATGTTTTTCACAGGAACATAGGCAACAAATTGTAAGCTCCATTTTTTATCATCTTTAAAAGAATGGATCAATTCTTAAAAACATGTAACAGCAACGCCCATCACACAACCCCTTCAGATTTATTTGTTTTTAAATCTTCTATTGATCTGCCACCACATATAGAGCCAGAGACAAAAAAAAAATACAGGTACAGACTATGCAAACCAACTGACCAGCTGCCCAAAACAAGTAAAACTATTTTTCTGGTTTGCAACAAACAGCTGTTAAGTAAATCAGGTAAAGCTGCTTTCAAAAAAACGAGAGTAGTCCTTTCAGTTATCTCAGCTGGGACAGTGGAGAGCTCATAAATAGAAAGTACAGAGCTATAAAAGGCTAATTTTTAAATACAGTTTTCTTTAAATTATAACATTCACCTCTTGAGGAAAATAATAATGAATAATAATAACAACTTACTTTGTACCTTAAGGTGCCTCTCAACAAAGTGTGAGCGGTCTGAATACCATACGGCTCAGCATATTTTGTGCTGTCTCTGTTTGGAAAACCTTCCAGATTTAATCCTGGGAAGAAATCCATCGGAGTAACAGAATCAAGTACTGCTCCTCCAGCTGGAATATTTACAATCTAAATTTTGTGAAAAACAGAAATATTATTTCAGTGCTGTGTTATTTATTTTACAACAGAAGATATTAAGTATGTTCAAAATAGCAACTATATGCTTAGAATTTCATGTGCAAACAAAGGCCCAATCTAAACAAAGCAGTTGCACAAGCCACTGAAATATATCATGTGATGGAGGAGCATGCACTATGTCAGCCATTGCTAATCAAAGGGCTAAAACAAGGCACATCTTTCTCACACACGCTGTTAATTCCTGCTGCTCTTATACTAAAGTGGCAAGTTCCTTTCCCAAACTACACCAATGTGAAGGGAGATTCTGCCCATAGTCTTCCTGTTTTTTAGTCGTTTTTAATTCTTTTATGGGGGAGGAGAAGGCAAATGTAAAAAGAAAGAGGGATCTTGCTTCTCTTTCTTTTAAAGATTAAAATAAATTCAGTGGTAGAACACTGACACAAAATTGCTGTCCATGTGTATCTTTACTTGCAGCTACAAAGCACAGAGAAAATGCACCGCTGAAGGAAAACAAAATAAGATTGACTAGTTCTATTATCACTCCAAACCAAAGCCTTGAACCCTGTTTCCTTCAAGCAGCTGATGCACATGTCTGCTATGCAGCATCAATACAAACTCATTTTGTGACTTTTGAGCAAAGGGGCAAGGTTTCCTCCTAGAAGAAAGACTAAATCAAAAGCCAAAAGATCTTATTGTGTTTGCCAGGCACAGGGGAAGAATCCTGTACAACAGTCAAAGATAGCTAAGGATGTAGTGCACAATTTACTGACAAGCTCACCTACTGCTTTCATAATGAATCATTCATATGCATGATCTAATTTTTCCTAGCCATAGGTGAACCAGGTCAGAATTAAATAAATATTTTTACATTCTCCAAGTGACCCTTTTATCTGAAACTTATGTGTTGTTGCTTTCTAATTAATGATCCAATACACAATCCCTGATTTTCTACTTTCTCACTGTAATAAGAACACTGGAGCACCAAAAAGTCATGACAAAACATCTCAAAAGATTTCTCGGTTTTGCAGATCAAAAAGTTTAGATAATTAGCTGAACCTTACACTGATTATAAAAGGCAGTCTCCTTGACATTTGAAGAGCCCCTGCTCAAGTAACTACTTTGAGCAAATGGAAGTGATCAAACAGATAGGACAGGAAACCAGAAATGTAACAGTGGCTTGCAATAGCTTTGCACGAATCAGTTTTATCTTTCCATAAAACAGATGCAGTGACATTTGCTAGGTTAAGTCTACTCTAATGTCTCCTGCACAAACAGCAAAACAGAGCTTATATAAACACATCAGAAAGTACTGTACACTTTCACAAAAAATACTCATTGCGCTACTGGTATTACAGACTGCACTCAAAGAAATCAAGAGTCCTGGCATACACTGTGTAAGTATAGAATGAGGCTGTCTGGATTACAAACATGGCTAGACAGAAAAGCAAGTAGAAGGATGCACTTTCACCTTCGTTCCACAGAGCCAAAGACAGGTAAATTAAGTGGCAAAAGCAGTACACAACGGGAATGGAAGCTGGATGCAGAAACACAGCTTCAGTGCTTTAGTCATTAGAACACACTCCATCTTTGCAATCGGCTTCCATACAGTAAGTAAGAACAATGCTGGCAGGTGCCAGGCACCATCACACTCCAAACATAGGATTTTGTTATGCATGCAACTGAGTTTGGCAACTGACTATCGCTGGCTTGAAAGTAAACATAGCAACTTACAAACCCTAATTCTCCCCTTAAAAATACCACTTTCTTTGTCTGGCTTTAAATGGAAATTTTAGGATTACTTCACCTCTCCATTTCTTAAATATGTAGCAGACTGAACTGTATTCAGCAAAACTCCTTGTGGGCTCCAGCTGAACTTGTATCTCAGAGGATTGTCAGAGTACTCTGGAGCTGGTAGGCCGCCGCAGAAAGAAGTGTAGGACACAACCTGTCAGATTTATTCACAATGAAAGAAACAATGAAGAGAAAACAGACCAGGATGTGGACAGTACAGAGCTGCCCTGCAGAATCCCTTTCAGTTCTTAAATTTTCTGTTGAAGCTGTACCCCACATAGGCCAAATCAGAAGATCTACAGTGGAACCAAAAGTTTACTGTGCAAGGGCATCAAGCTGTCACACTGCAGCCACTGTCTGTAAAGGAGAGGAGACCAAAACAGATAGTGGGGCAAGGCCGTATTGTTGGTGTTTTCACCAACTGGATTAGTTGGCAACAAATCCCAAGCGTGAGAGAAAGGTGTCCAGAATCCATTACACATCAGTGACATGCCCAAAAACTAGGAGGTGGTAAAGGGACAGGGTTACTATGTGCTACCTGCCAACCTTACCGTGGCACCAACTTCTTTTGCCTTGTCAATACATTCCATTGCCAACATATGGTCAAGACCAGGATCCAAACCCATTTCACTGATAACTGTAATACCAGCAGCTTCTACACTAAAAATAACAGAAATGCAGAGCTGTCAGAATATTCACTTTTATTTAGGAAATCTGTCCAATAAAGGCCCAGCGAACTTTCCCCAACACAGCAAATTCTAGGCTCTATCTGCAGCTTGTGGGTAAAAAAAAAAGATATTAAAACCTGAGCAGTAACAACTGTTAAAGAGTCATTCTAGCCTTGGTTTCTCTTACTTTGCTGCAACATCTAGGGGCTGGTGGAAAAATAAATTCCTATCTCACATTCTATTATTCTATTATTCACACTAAACTCCATATCTCACATTCCCCTGGACAGCGCTACAGTGCATGAAGGTAGTACTGAAGAGTATGGCACAGAACTAGTCATAATTGCCCATAACAGCTCCTGTGGAGAAGAGAGATGAAAGACCTACTTTCCCAAATTACAAGCATTTGGGGTTTAGCAGTTGTCCACATTCCCAGAGAAATTCACTTATCACCACAAACTGAGGCAATTTATTTTAGTTTCAAAATCACTTTGTATTTTTACAAATAAGAATTGGTTTTTTTTCTTTCTTTTTTTTTTGAGAGTGTGATATGACCTCTTGGCATCACAGCTAGAAGAATCTCCCTCACTGTCTGCAACACTGGTTCTCTACCTGTCTACCTTTCTCTGTTTTATCTTTTGTAGAGACACAGCATGCACAAGTCTCATCTCACTCACTTGAATTAATTTCAGAGTATCCAGTACTGAGACTGAGAGGAGTACCTAGGTGAAAGTCCATGCCCAAAACAACTTCTAATTATATAATAAGTAGGACAACAGAAACAATAGAATAGCTAGAACCGTCACCAGCTTGAGACTAATAGAAAGGAGAAATGACTCCTATCCAAAAGAAGGAGTCATGAAGGAGGATGTTAGAGTAGGTAATAGAATATTAGTGTAGATTAGGGGAATGTGGCTTAGGAGAATGTGAAGGATGACAAGCAAGCTTGCTGTCACTGGTAGAACAGGACAGCCCATCTGCTGATTTGAATATCAGCCCAGCTCAAACATCCTAACAGGTCTGAGGGGATAGGGGAAAGCACACTAATATGGAATAAGATGGGGTATGCAGAAAAGCACATTCTACTGTTTAGAGCACTAGCCTGCCCGTATTGGGGTGTGCACTCATTTCCCCACTCTGCCACAGCCTCCATATGCAACTTTGGGAAAAAAAACTTAGTCCTCTATCATAGAAAGAGAAGGAGAAAGAATGCAGAAAACAGTAATTCACAATGAACATTGCAGGTGTAACAGACTGCAAAATATTCAGATAATGCACTAAAGGAGGCAGTAACACCAGGGAGATGCTACTGTCATACTTACCTCTCCCTGAGCTCTTTCATAGCTGGTGTTAAGTAGCTGGCTGTTACCAAGTTCACTTTGTTGTCAATACATTTCTTAGCAACCAAAGGATGTGCTGAATAAGGCAGCAAACTACAAACGAAACAATTATGCAACATCAAAATCCAACCAGTTACTTAGGCTATCACTGGAAAGACACTCGCAAATGTTTTTTGTATGCCTACAAAAGAGCTCAAGTAAATGCAACAGCCCTACCTGCCTTGCCCTGAGCAGTTTCGTATCTACATAAGTGAAATGCTACCCTACAGAAGTGCATTGTTGTATGTACTTGGGACAGAGCATAGGACAATATGGGAGTCATTGTTTAGACAGCATCTTCTGTCACATTTGTCTTTGTAAAAAACAAGCCACTGATCTATTCTCAAGGCTACTTTCTAAACAGGCATGATGAAGATTCAGAAGATGCCAAGCTGTAAATCCATCCTTGAGAAAGCTTGCATTACAAAGATCTTGCTGAAGTACTTTGTGAAAAGCATGCTCTACATGGAAAAGAAGCAGCATACATGACATCTGTGGCAAAAGGGACAAAATTACAAGGACTGTGAAGTCATTTGCTCCCTTCTTTCAATACCTGAAAACAGATCTCTCTTAGTGGAGAAATGACCAAGATGTCAGAATTTTGCTTCCTCTTGCAAAAATGCCAATTTGATCCCAGGAACACTTCCACTGGTGGACACAACTGGTCCCTCACACTAGGAAGGCTCTCCACATAATTGGTGAACACTTCTAAAGAGATGCTGCAGTCAAAACCCTTTGAAAGTCCTGATGCCCTACTACACGAGAAGGCAGTGGCCAGATACAACTATTTACATACACAACTATGATCCCAGTTCTTGGGCATTAAAAAAAGTTAGTATGCTGATTTAGGTCACTGAACTAGGAGAAAGAAGCAGCATGACTGAGGTTTGAGCCTGTCATGTTTTACACACAATTCTGACCTGATCACAAGGTTGTGTTTCTTCACCAAAGAGGTCAGCTTTTCCTCATGCTTAATGATATCCATATGAACTGAAGTAATATTGTCATATTTTTCTGTCAGTTGTTCAAGTTGTTCCTTCGTGACAGATGCTGTTTTAAAAGTAAAACACATCAACTGTTACATAAAGATAATTACAAAGCACTCCCAGGTACAACAGTGCTTCCCTAAGAAAAACAGTTGCATGGATGTTTTCCTTCACTAACAGTTGAAGAGAAATCAGGCATAAAGCACCTTACTTCCCTTAAAGTAGTCAACTTCATTATAAATTGCCACGGTCAAGCCATAACAGCTATAACTCAACTAGAATCCACAAAGAATACTTTCTCTCAGAAGTGAAGAACCTGCTGAAAAACAACCATTTTCAAGTAGTGTGACAATTAATCTTGAGACTGAAAGTATTTTAGGTCACTATGCAGTACATATTTTCTCCTGGTTTTAAAAATGGTAACTTTAACCTGGCCAAATAAATGCTGAGGTGGAGTATTCAATCAGTTGATTGTAGTAGTTATTTCTGCAAAAGCACTGACTACTTCACTGAAATGCAAAAAGCTGACTAAAGTCCAGGATGGGGAAAAGGTCCAAAGAGGAAAATGCCTTTCTCTTTTTCAGCCTGTGCTTGCTTTAAGTGAGACAGGAAAACCTTAACTAATTTTAAGGTCTTGATGAACATGCAGGTTCAATACAACTAACAGACTTAGTAAACAAACATGCTCAGAAAACTTACCCCATCCCTCATTCCACATAGCCATACATTTCTAGATAAATCTGGTTAAAAAAAAAAAAATCTTTCAAAACTGTTTTCAGACATTTTAAAAGGAATTCCTATTTTTTACCAAGAACAGCTTAATAGCTTAAAACAAAACCAATTCACATCATTCATTATTTTTAACATAACAAAGATAAAAACATTAAGCTTTTGTTTAGCTCAAACATTAAGAGGCCCAGATTCAATCTGACTAGTTTCAATATTTGCCTATGGGTTAGTTCTACCAAACCTGCATGTGAAAATATTATCCCTAAAAGGAAGAAATCCAGTCTCTGCCTGCTTCCATTTGTCCCTTACAATTATCTTGCTCTTACTGCCATCAGCACTTACAATTAAAATGAAAGCAGAACTGAAAGAGAGATCCAGGTTAAAGCAACCAGTATTTGACATATCTCACACCATCTCCTGTCCTGGCTCACCATGCTGCCAATACGACGATGACAATGGGAACATGGCCAGGAGAAAGAAGTAGGCAATGAAGGCGGCAGGTGGGGAACAGGCTTACAGAGTATTAAAAGCATCTGTGCCTCTAACTTAGGGCCTTATTTCCTTATGGCCTTTCCAAAGTCAATGGAAATAAACATTGCCAGAGGGTGATTCTCCATACCGTACTAATCAACTTGTGCTGAGAGAAAAGAGAAAGGCAAAATCAACCTAAAAAGAAATTGATTACATGAATGCTTCCCAATTAAAACTTTTGTCATTTGGATTTAAAATGGTGTAGCCTAACAGTTGAGAACCAAATGTGGCACCACAGTGTGCCTTTTAAGCTTTCCTCATCCACCTACCTACTGTCAAGTATTTGACAAGTAACACCTCTGTGTCTCTTCTCTTCTGAGTTTTTTGTGTGCGTGTGCTATACAAATTGCATGGTTTTAAGACACCCAGGTAACAGGCACCTGCTGTTTGCTCAGTGCTTGGCAAAACACATTTTCCAATTCACTTGGTTTCCCTTACTGCTCCTGTATTGCAGAGACTAATGCTGCCTCTGTACCAATGAGGGGATGGACACTGCACATTGCTGTAATCCTTCCTTGTTCACAGCGTCAGGCAGTGAACTGTGCTAATGGTGCACAGTCCTTGGAGTACTCCTCTTCTTCCTAGTATACCTTTTCCCAGGGGTTAAATGGTTATTACTGCAACAGGTAGCAAAAGCAGGCAAGCACAAAAATAACATGAGAAAATAACAAACCAAAGCAACAATAGCAACACCACAGATCAACAGAAATACAAAAGTAAGTTTTAAAGGAAATCACTTCCCAGCAAAGTCACTTTCAGGCAATACAGCCTGGGATTCAAACCTTTAAACAGAATCAGGGTAAAGTCATCGTCAAGGGTACTGAAAAGTGGTTTTGAGATGCCCAGCCTGAAGCATGCTACAGATAAAACCAGAACAGAGGAATGAACAAGCAGGCATGTGAGGCTGATGAGAAGGTCAGGGGCTGAAGGTTAACCACTACAGTATTGGTTATAACTAGAACAGGGGCTTCACCCATACAGATGTCCATAAAAACAATTTCATTTTCTTGTTGTGTGAGGCTGAAAACACAAGCCAAGCACCAACAAAAGGGACTGACTACCTACAAAATCAATCCCAAGACCAAATCAGGCTAGAAGGAAAAGTACTTCTGACTTCCCTACATAAGTTACACATACAAACAGTAAAATTTCAATGTGGCCATGTCATTTTCAAATCAATTATATAAACTCAAAATGCTCACAGTTACAAAATCTTTTTCTGCTGTGTATAACAACAAAGATTTTCTTTATCTGTTCTCAAAACCAGATCCCTTTACTGCCTTTGAGAAAGGTTCTGCCACGCCAGCAGGTTTAAATAAGATATAATTTTTCAATGAAAAACAAGCAAAGTCTTACATACCAACTGTGATGTCAACATTGGAATCTCGACTAAGATATTCAATTACAGGGCCAGAAACATAGCCAGATCCAAGCAATAAAACCCTCTTCTTATTATCCATCTTCAGCATTTGAGTGTATTCTCTAGAAGGTGTTACAGGCAAAATTAAAAACCACAGAGAAGAAGGAAACTGTAAACTGCTAAAACTAACAAAGCATGTTTTAGTAAGTCTACAAACCAAGAGCTCTACTCAGACCAAGAGTCAAGTTCCTGGCTATCTAACCCAAGTACTGCTCCCATTCTTCTATGGCAGAACTTCTAGGTTCTTTCTTCCAATATAAACATGATCAAATCCATCAACATCTCTACTGCTTCTTCAATTGATACTAGCTGTTCAATAGGTTTTTCCTCAGTTGCCACTATATTTTTCTGAATGGCCAGATTACCGTAACTTGATCACTTGAGGACCCACAAGCTGTCTATGTCATCCTGGGCTGTCAGAAAGGGATTCAGGCTCTGCCTTGCTCCCTTTACATAACCAGTATTTGTTAAAGCACACAAAACCATGCTGGTGAAAGTATATTTTAGGTAAGTTATACTAATCTCATATTAGTCCACCACAGAAACATGATAGTCAATACAAGTTAATACCTAATTAAGAAATCCTGTTTGCAGACAAGACCTTGTTTGATTTTTTTTTTTTAAAGAAGTTAAATCATGATTTAATCCATTCACAGAAAGCCTCCTAAACCCATTATATCCTTTCATATGACAAATCTAAGGACCTTCCTCCTCCTCCTATTGAGTTTAACAGAACATCTTCTTCCAGAGCTAAATCCTCATGGGCAAAGAAAAAGAAATAATTCCTGTCTGCCCTTTACTATAGGGAGCAGAAATGGTATGCAGGAGCTTGGAGCAACAGTATTGACAAAGAGGATACTTCCTATAGGAAAGAAATCTATTATTTTGCAATCAAACCTCTTATCATATTTATTAAAAACTTTCCCAGTGTCTAAAATGAGGTCAGACTTGAAACAAACATAGCATGTCTGCTCTAGGACAGGCTGCCAAATGACCCATCAAGAGTGGGAACAAAATCTGCACAGTCCCAGAAAAGAACATTTCATATTACGCCTACCCTCTACATACAAGTCTCAATAATTCAGTTATGTTAATCTATGAACAAATAACAGTAATACCTAGAAGTCCACACTGTTAATGGGATATGTCATTGCAGCTGTGGATGAGGAACCCGTAGAAGGTATGAAGCAAGTAAAGGTGAAAAAACAGAGATAAGTTTAGTAAAACAAACTGCTCCTGTATTCTAATGGCATTCAGGACAGTTCAGTTCCTCCAGTCTGGCTATCCTATCTCTAAAATATCCCAAGACTTCCAAAGGGTATAAGCAATTAGGTTAAATAGAGCCCTCAGAATCTAAATTAGACACAGGATAATACTTTGTTATAGTAATAACAAAAGCATGATTCCTACAGGCTCTAAACAAAAGCCTATCTCTAGCTAAACCATCACATCTTAGGCAGTAAAATCCTCGCTTTAATTTGCATTATCTCCAAAGTCTGCAGTAAAGGAGGGTATCATTAGCAGGTTTTGCTTTTCTGACAGCTAACTGAGCAACACCACTGAACATCACATGCAACACACAGGTCCGCAGAAGTATCAAACGTTTGCCCACAAAACCCCCTTGGGAATGACATCTCCAGATTCTCAGGGTAGGTCATACAAGCAATTATGGAGAAAGGAAAAAAAAAAAGGAAAACAACCAACCAAAAAAAAAAAAAAACACAACCCAGATCATTGTGCTGTGTGAGGTATTCCTCAGAAAATTTGTTACTGTTGTTACTGAGACAGCTGCTTGAGGTGGTCTGTCAAACAGCACATGACAAAAATTACTGTGAGCTGAAGTCTTTGAGAGGCAAAGAGCATGTTACTTTGGGTGAATACTCGTTGTGCACAAGTTCATAACCAGAACTCCCAAAGTTCCCAAAGGAAACTGGAGACATTTGGCATGCAAAAGTCAACACACTATGCTTTTAGTGTATAGTGTATGCAGTGCTTGTGGTCAGACCAATCTCAACTTTTACGTGATGTACAGTGCAGCTGGCACTGACCATGCCACTGACTAAAGCTTTACCTACAGGAATATAATGAAGCCTGAAAGTCTCACAGAGGTTCCTGGATACATCCAGTCACAGAACAATGCTATACAGCACAGCACTTGAGCCATACTAGGATTCAAGGTATAGTACAGAGCCTTTTCCTTTCGAAGGACTGCACGTTATACCCATTTTAAAAGGGCAAGGAGTAACAGAATAATACTGGCATGTGTCTGTTTTCTGCCAGTCTTCATAACGTAAGAAAAATGACCACTTCCTCAACTTCGATATAAGTTACTAACAGCATATGTTAATGATTTAAGCAATGCGCATGAAGAAAGAAGGAAATACCAAGCTAGGAGACATTTAGACATAAGCACTAGACAGTGCAATATAGCAGTATTCCATAAAAACACAGGAGTAAATAAATTCAAAAGGGGAGGTGGAATGCAGACAACATTTTTTTTAACATCCTGAACCAAATAATCTTTAAGAAGCTGTACATTACCTGCTCTCCCTCAGTTTCTGGATATATTCATATTTAGCTGTCAGTGAGCCATTGGATGCAATCACTGCCTAGAAATACATGAAAAAAAAAACAAAAACAAAACCTGAGGCTTTTTGTACCTGTATGATTTATAGCAGAGGAAGACAAGCAGAGTGACAAATCACAAAACTTACATCTCGAACAACAGTTGAGTAATTCTGTCTCTCAAGAGGTTCTGAGCCTTCCGATAACAGCTATGGAGATAAGTTATTTCAAATCTGGTCATTTCATTTGCCATAAATATTTTTTCAGAGTAAAACATCAAGATTTTAAGCAACATTTAAATGCAGTCAGCAATACCAGTATTTTGTAGATCTGAAATTCTTGTGGCCCTGATCAGTGTCATTTAACTTCTATGAAAATACAGAAATTCAAACAGCAGTCTGATTGTGAGCAACTGTTATCTGCCTCAAGAAAATCAGATTTTGACATCTATTGCATAGTCCAGGAACAATGAACTACCTGACAGAGCCTGTTTCCTGCCTACACAAAGTGTTCTTGACAAATCCCTAAGACATCCAGATCACTAATGTCTCATTCACAAGTTGCTTTTTCAAAGTATTGCTCAAGACTTAGAAAGCCTTTTTTTGTTTTGTTTTCTTTTCTTTTTTTTTTTTTTTAAAGTACAAAGTCAGTTATGTTCTACAGCAGATTTATTTTGAATGTATACAGGAGACCAGAAAAGCAACAAACAAGCAGACCAAAGTCTGAGCCTTTTACTTTCTCGATGGATATATTAGACCTTACCATCTCTTCAATATATGGGAAAAGCATATCGCCAAAGTACTCTGTTGCTTCTACAGGAAGCTGAGCTGGCAGATTGTCAATGGAACACATCAGAATCCCAGAGCCTTCCACACTGAAAGAGACAACATGGCTCTTCTAAACTACTTCGCCTTGGTACCTGAAAGGCATCACCTTTCACAAGTGCTTTAAACACATGATTTTTCAATATAATGTTTCATCGTAGAAATTACAGAGGAAAGCAATAAAACCTAAAGGCTCTCCCACCTGTCATGAATAATATGCTGGTCAGCATCATACATACAAAATGGACTGTCAATTGTTGTACATTCAGTCATAAATTCTATAGATCCTCCAGTGTCTGCTGAAATGTCACATATTGCCAGAAGCCTAAAGCAATTAAACAAAAAAAGACAAAGGAATAGAGTATTATCCAAATTACTAAGAAATATAGGTTTAAAAGATCACAAGTGAAAAAGAAATTTAAAAGAAATGTGAGAAAATATATTATACTTGTAGTTTCATTCATCTTAACCAATTTAGAAGTCAGCGTAATATGAACAATGACATCCAGACAGGTCATGAGATTTCCATTCACAACAAAAGGTTCCATATTTCATGCGTAACTTGTCAAAGACCAGGACAATCCACTCATCCATCATTTTTTCTCATTATCCATGTGCTGTCAACACCTCCCGTTTGTTACACAACTACCAATTCCCCCAAGCTATCACTGTGCAGTCCTGCACTAGAATAACTTCACCATCACAAAGGGAAACCTAAAGTGGCTACCTCCTTTCAGTTCACAGAGAGCTGGCACAGGTGGAGTATTCATTAGCCTAAGGCACAACCTCTGGCTCCACTCAAGGTTAACACTTTTAAGTCTTTTTCATAGGAGAGAAAGAAAGGTGTCAAGAGTGGACAGAGAAAAGACAAAGACCTCTTCCTCACCAGCATATCCTTTGCTATATCCTCCCCAAATCCATCACCAGGCCAGTGCCCCAAAGAACTATTACACAGGACTACTAGGGAAAGGGTGGCTCCCACCCCCGCTGAAAGGAGACTAACCCTGGATTTGCATCCCACATTCCATCCTTAAAGCTATTCAAGGTTGTGAAGCATTTCCACCACCAGCTGCAGAAATCAGAGATGTGAAGGAACAGTTATTGAAGTTGTATAAGCCAAATGACAGGGTAGGAAGAACTTAAACAATGAACTCTGCTCAGGCACAGAAACTTCTAGCAGTAATGGTGCATTAGGTACATTTCCCAGATATCACAGTTTGCTCTGCATTTGGCACAACAATCATTGGCAGAACTACCTTTGCAGAAAGACAGACAATACCTGTCAATCATTTATACTGTGATGTTTCCAAAACCTTCAATCTGTGAAAACAAGACTGCAAAGCACAGAAGAACAAAAGCAGGTTCAATGCGGTACTCTGCAACATGCAAGAGGAACATAAGAAATAGAATCACTTGGTAGATACTGTGGTGAAACTGCCTGGCATTCTGACTTAATTAGGATGCTGCAGAATTGTTACAAATGAACTGAGGTGTCTTACTTGTGTGGTAACTCAGGACAGCCCTCTATGGCAGCAGAAGTAGATTTAACTGGCACCAGCAGCTTCTGAGCATCCTGTCGACTTAACAAGCGAGGAGTATGTTGCTCCCAGTATATGCCATTAATTAAACAAGTTGTGTAGGGTGCAATCTGCAAAGAGAGTTACAGATGCCAGATGTTCTTATCTAGTATTTTAAGTTGAAAGCACCTGGTCTAGTGATTTAAATGAACACTTTCTCATCAATGGATATGCAAAGGTGTAGTAACTACCAACAATCTGTGGAAAACATTTCATAAAAGAAGAGATGCTTACATCACTGTTAAAGCGAGAAGTGTAAAGTTCTGGGTGTTTTTCATAGTCTACAGGATCATACAGTCCATCCTGTTTCCTCACAAGATGATGGTGACGACTTAACACTGTCCCATAGACTTTTCTGAGGTCTGAGGTTAAAAAAAAAAAAAGAAGAAGAAATAAAATTGTTGTTATATTTGGACAAAAAGGGTTGCAGTGTTTCCAAAAACTTTATTGTTGCAGCATACCTCCAGATCTGGAAACTTCCTTTAACTCATGTGGTTCCACAAACTCACATGGGAGGGCACTGAACATTTCCTGAGCACCCTGTAAACCAAGAATTAGGATTCAGAAAGATCAGAGCATACAAACATAGTGTAACACTGCTCATTTTGTGTGGGAAAACAGATACAAAAATGCCACGCACAACAGAGTCCTGCCAGACAAGGCCTTCAGAGATGTACAGACTGTTTCACACATAGCCCTGCTTATCCAAAACAAAGCTGCCTGGGCTCTGTGTACAAGGAATTTACATCATTCCCCATTACTGCAGTTTGCGTGGCCCACAGTCCAAAGCCCGGTTTACATTTCTGACAGTGGAGCTGGGAGGCCCCAGCTCAGCCACAACAGGTGGTTTTGCTGCCACTCTGAGGAGCAGTTTCTCTTTAGGGAAGACCCCTGAAGCTCCTCCTCACCGACCAGGCTGTTCTAAAGGCAAAGAACTTTGAGATGACCTTCCCAATAGCTGTGATTATAGAACACCGGCTCTTCAGACACGCCAGCCTTTTGCTCAATAAACACAGTTACACTGGCAGTGACCTTATAGCCTGAGCTAGTTAACTGATCTTTGTTGCCAAAACCAGGAGTAAGGCGTTTTCCCTATGTTATAGAATATATGTCTAAAGTCCAGGACCTGTAAGCCAAGTCAGTGGCACAAAAACAGATAAAACCCAGCAAGTATTAGAAAAAATAATTCTTCCCTCTATACTTTAACGGGGTGATTCAACATACCTTCTGAGCCCAGAGTGAATCAAGTGCAGAGAGGGAGATAAAAATCATGCAGGTGGGACAGAGAAGCAGTAAGACTTAACCCATTTTTCATGGTAAAAAATTAGTGTGGTCACCCTTGTCGGGCATGATCTCATCTTAAAGGCATTAGTTTAGGGTACTTGAAACTTCTTACTGGCAAAGGAAAACCTGAAGTCCAAGCAAACAAAATGAACCTATCAACTCATTTATCCTGGTATGTATCAAATGCCAAGAATTTATATTAAAAATAATAAAGTATTTAATCTTGAAGACAGAATTCTTACCTTAGAAACATTACCAGTGCCTGTAAACACAAATGTTAAGGGTCCAACTGACTTTGGCATCAATCCAAGTGAAATTTCATACCCGGCATCCCTTACTGCCTGCACAGCCTGACTGCTATTCCTGTAGTTATGTGCCATCCCAATGTGCTGAAATCAAATGCATAGAACAATCAAGATATTTTCCATATTCAAATACAGGTGCAGATGCCCTAGTGTCATTTTGCTAGAGAAAAATACATACACATACAGTCTTACCATGAAGGGAGTGTGATGTCCCAAGGCTAAAAATCGTAATCCCAATCCATGCAGAATGTTGATCATTCCTATTGTTTAAAAAAAAAAAATAATCAGAAAATCAGACTATCAGCATTAATTATGAATATACATAGAAACTGCAGAGACTCACTGAAGTCTAAACTCACCCTGGATATTTTTTCCCATATTTTATTATTAATATTTCACTTCTAAAGAAAGTCTACATAAAACCAGGGAAGGAGAAATTCAATAGCAGGCTATGACCTTAAACCTGCTCTTGGCCCACATTAGGCATTTCAGCACCATTTAATATTCGGATATCCTTTCATGAGATGTATCCACAACACCAGATTCCAAAGAAGGAGATAATAAAGAGAGTCTCCTGAAGAAACAGCGTTGAAGTTCAGTGAAAGGAATGAGAACCATGCCTCACAAAAATCAGTATAAATGAATGAGAGAGGGACAAACAGATGTTGTTCAAACTCGCAGGACTGACAGCAGCCCTTTCTCTCAAAAGCCTATTCAGCTCATCTCTAGATTTTTAGTCGGCCTCAGATTAGTTGAACAGACAAATAGGAATTCAAGACAATATAAAATAGTAGATTTGCCAGGAATCCACAGACTGTTTGACATGTAGTCTAATCAAAAGTAGGGAGCACAAAACAGAATGGAAAAAGCTCTTAAAAGCAAGAGTTAAAAATCCAGTTAAAAATGCATTGCAAGCCTCAACTTTCAGGAAACATAGACAACCAGAAGTATTACAAGAAGCTACTTGTTGCAAGCCTGCCTTTACTTTATGCACTATACCTGCTACACCAGCCCACTTTCCAAAGGCCACAATTCGCATTCCTTTACGATCCACCATTTTTTCATAGTCAAACAGTCGAATTTCCTGAAAATACACAGCAAACTGAGTATTAAAATTTTCAGTGAATGCAGTCAGTGGCATGTTACTCTCCTAGGAATTACCTTTTGATATGCCTTTGTCATCCTTTGTGATAGAGGCTGATGGGCATATATGAGCAGGCAAATGATTCATAACAAGATTTAGGTATAAAAATAAAAACCTAAAGGTTACACTGAATTCTTGTTTTAAAGAGCCTCTGCACTGCCTGTGCACTCTTGGCACAGTTTCCCAATGTGCCATTCCAGCCGCTGGAGACTCTGCCAAGAGGCTGCTCATTTCTGAGTGAACTGGTTGCCTCCCTCTGTAACAGCCAACACATGCTCTTGATTAATAACTTTCCAATAAGCCTTCATGCTCACACAGCACAAACCTCTCATGAATACACCATGCTTGCAGCACATCTGCCTCGCACATCAACAGAGTAGCACCACAAGCACAAGATCCTCTGAGGAAGAAATACTCAACTTCAGGAAAAGATACTGAAAACTGTCCTTGTTAGCTAACTACAAATATGCACACTGAAAGTAACCACGCTAGGCAGCAAGCTTTTGATCATACTTCAGCATTAAGTTCAGTTTCCAACCCATGCTAACAGTCAATTGTCTTCTCTATGACACAATTTACCTGTCTTAGAATCTCATCCAAAAGGGGCATGTTTGCCTCTTGGGCTTTAATAGTGTGAGAGAAGAAGGCATAGTTCTTTTTAGGGATTAATTTGTCCTCTGGAGGTCTTTTCACACCTACTATCAGAGAAGCCTCAGAAATATCTTCTTGAATAATGCCACCTGCTTTGATGTAATCCTATGAAAGAGAAAAAAATCAAAGTAATTTTTTTCTGGGTTTTTCCATATTCAGATCTCAGCACATAAGCAATTAGAACAGAAGAAAAACAGATAATTCTCCAAAGCAGAAACAAGTTACTACATGTGATACTTCAGAAACCTCTTTATCAAAGGGATATTGAATATCAAACTGAACTTGCGTGCTAATATCCTATTATACAAGGCAAAAACATAATTATGTTTTAGTAAAATCCTTCATCATAAATTCACAGACTACAAAAAGGGTATTTCACTACATTTAAAGTATTTTATAAAGTGCTGTGATAATGAACAACCCTTTGTAACATGTTGAAATATATGGAAATAAGTTTAGATAAATCTGACATATTAATCTGAAGACTGATGGCATGTGATTTTATAAAATTGTGTAAGATTAAGTCCAAGCTGAAGAGCAACATCCAAAAGAGTGTTTTTCCATATCAAAATCTAGTCTTGTTATCCCTTGTTTCAGAAACATATTAAAATTCCAGCTTTCAATATCATACTTGTGTACCCAGAGTGATATATGCTTTGGTGAAAAACAGCCCTGTGACTTAAATAAAAGGTGATACATGCAAGTGATCACTAATTCCCTACTTATGTGTCCATTTTTATCTGTTGGTTCAGATACCTTACAGCAGAGTACTACTGTTGCTTACTGGAACTGTAAAAGCTCTCAGTCCCAAAGCTCACAGCATAAAAGAAAAAAACAACCCAAAACAAAACTCTCTCCTCATTTTACATGAGTAATAGGACTGAAGTGGGAATGGGATTCATCAGATTCATCCTTCCACTTTATTTTAAATATGATTATTTTTTTTGAATGTTGCCTCCATACAAATAGAAGAAATAAACACCAATGTTAAATGGATTATCAAGTTTCAGGGACAGATGAAAAGAAATCAATAAAAGCAACTCCAGAAGCCCACCAGTATGCCAACATTACATTAAAAGGCTAAACAAACTACTCCTTTTTCTCTCCACAATGACTCCCCATGCAACAACAAAATTAATATGTTTTCTCATGTATATCCCTTGAATATATTTTTTCCTGTGCTATGGTTAATAACTGAACTAAGGGTTTGCTTACATAAATCAAAATGGGACCTCACCTTTTCATGGATGGCTCTCCGGTTTGATGGCTGCACTAAGACCTTGTAACCCATCTGTGTTAATTCCTTAACATGCTTTGGTGCTAGAGGTGCTCTTCTTTCCCAGGCATTAACATCTTCCCTCCTGATTGCCAGCACAGACTTATGACGATGCCAACACTTAGCATTATGGAACGCACACCTACCATTTGTGTGACTAAAGGCTCGCAGCATGGTAAAGCCTGATGGCAGCAAAGACAACGTAGTAAAATATACATATATATACACGTATGTTTCAAACACTGTTCAAAAGGTCTGGTCTCCTTTAACATCTGCTGTAAAACACAAACCAGATACTTTATACTCTAGGTGCACCCTACTTTTGTGAGATATAAATTTCCCTGCTTGAGCAGGGAGGTTGGTCTAGCTGACCTCCAGTGTCCCCTTGCAACCTCCACTCATTCTGTGATTCTTTGATTCTGAGAATTTACTTTCAATGTACTTCGTTGCACCTCAGCTTCATGGGGTGTCCTTACAGAAACAAATTATTTGTGCTATTGTAAGGGAAGGCTTTTAACATGTTCAGTGTACCAAGTTTTTACTTACACAGCTTAAAAAGAATGCTGGAAACTTAAAAATGCCAATTAAATTCATTTGCCAGCATGAACATCCAAAGACGAAGCACTTACAAAAGTTTGCATCGAGATCAGTGAGAAGTAACAAACTCACAGAAAGAAGGTAGAACACAGGCAACAATACAAGCAGTTGATTAAAAAAAAAGTCCTATATGTATGACTAATGCAAAGTATTTTTATATAACTAATTCTGACTCAAGCCAAAAACAGAACAGTAGGACAAGACCTTAACTACTGCTTAGCAGTCAGCATATGTGTGGCCAGGAGTTACAGGTTTTTTTCCTAATAAAAATATTGTGGAAAGGCTTCATTAGGACAGATTCTCACTACAGAGGATTATCCCTTTATTTTCTCTCTCCTCTTCTTCACTCACAGTGAAGCATATATGCCACTGCTCAGCTCCTCTGTGAATGGTATGAACCAGTCCAGCACCAAATACCTAGGAGCCTAAGGACTTGAGATATTTATATGATTAGAAGATGTGGATCTCAAAGATAGAGGCTCCAAAAACGTGAACGGTGATTTCAAAGTAGTTTTGACTGATAGTTACATGTATCTCTGCATTTGAATCACTTGGAAAATCCTGTTTGCCCTCATGCCCCAGTCTTGTAAAACCTCTATATGCCTAAAGCGTCAAGAGGTCCTATTTAACTCCAGGCTTGCTTAAACAGAATAGCACACAAAGGAAGGCATGAACAGAAGCACACAGTCCTCTGCCTTCACTCCAAATGTGGTCTTTCTACCATCGTGAGATTTTCCTACCAGCAGAATTTACTGTACAAAAGTTGGAGTTGATTTTTTATGACACTGCTCTTCAGCAGGCTAAGAGGGTTCTCAGAGACTGCGTTGGTACCTCTCAAAAACAGAGGAAGGCTTGTCACACATCACTATTACTGCACTCTAGAAAATAATGATTAGCGCAATTCCTACCACTGCACCGTACCTCATACCCAAACCTGCAGGGAAAGAAAATTTCCCTCACACAGAAGAGTCCTACAAGAACAATGCTGCTTTCAAAGGGGCACAAGCTGCCCTGCACTTACAGCGTGTGAGAGGGAACCAGGGCAGTAAACAAACACTCAGTGTGACCTCTGGCAGGCCAGAAGTGTGTACACATGACTCTGTGTGTGCTCAGGCTTAACCACAGATATCCCATTGGATAAGATACTGATATCCCGTTGTAAAAGTGAAAGTAAGTTTAGAATACAAATCCTGCAGAGATGGTGATCTCTGGCGTCCTCAACAACCCAGCTGACCAAGGGAGCCGAATGGCACTGGGTCCTCATCACCCATGATATGGGGGCTGCTCCACTCTGTTTTGAGCTTAGTTTTGAGACTCAATAGTGCTGAGGAATATAGCAAAGGAAAAGTAAAATGAAAGAATAACAACGAGCTTCATTACAGCACACAATCTGAATATGATCCTATTTCTAGAGTGAGCTGAACATACTTATACGGGCAACTTGTGCCTCCACTTACTACTTGGGCGACAGCTAAACTACAGCGCTGGCCCCTGCCAGTGTGTTTCGCCCCCTGAACCTCCGGCCGGGGGTCTCACGGGGCCCCTCCAGCCTCCCGACAGGAGAGCGACGCGCAGAAGGGAACAAAATCCCCGTTAAGAGAGGCAGGGAGGAGCGGGCAGGCAAGCGGGCAAGCAAGAGGGCAGGCGGACTGGCGGGGGTAGAACCGCGGTAAGGGGGCGGCACCAGCCGCGAGAGGCCGCGGCAGGGCGGCCGCTCTGCCAGCGGCGCTGCCCGCACGGAGGGCCGAGGCTGCGACCACTGGCACGGGGAGCGCCGGGGAGCGCCGCAGGAGCCGCCGTGTGCGCCGCGGGACGGGGCAGCTCCGTACTTACCTCAGGGTGTTCCGGGCAGCCCCGGCACAGCCGCTAGGTACAGCTCCCTAGGTCGGCCAGCGTCCGGCGCGCCGCCAACGCCCAGGGCGGCAGCCAACCGCGAGCCTCCCTGCGGCTACACCTTTCACTGCCCACCAATGAAGAGGGGTCCTGCCGGTTGCGTCACGGCGGACGTCGTCACGCCCCTTCAACGCCCCCATTCCCTCAGGCGCTGCGCCCCTCGCTTCTGCCCGGGGCAGGCTCCGGTCACCAGCACAGCGATCCCTCAACGCCCCTGCGGGTGCAGCTGCCTCCGGCTGAGCCCGCTCGGGCTCTCCCCGCCGACGCCGAGCACAGTGGGCGGCTGACCGGTCACAGCCCTGTGTCACCACGGCCGCGTGCTCACCTTTTTCCTACTACGCAACGTCTCAGATTGTTTTTGTACATTGCGTTCAGGCACGCTGTGCCTTTCCGGTGGCTTGAACACGGTACGGGAAATGGTAAAAGTTGTTCTGTCTGCCAAATAGAAATAGTTTGTGATTTGTTACGTGTGCTGTTGCCAGTTTTCAGCTGGAACTCGGTCTTTGAATTAGGTCCTTTGTGATGGGCCTCAACTGCTAAGTTGGATCATGACAAATAATAAGATGTTGTAGTATAAATCATGCAAATTGTGAGGTGTAAGAAACAAAAACAAATGCAGAGTCCTGTGCTGGGTGTGCAGGGTGAAGAAGGGCTTTCCTGTCAGAGAAAGGCAGGCTGTGCACTGTGGAGAATATACCCTGGGGAGTCTCCACGGGGGCGGTGTAGCTGCTGTTGCCAGTCTCTGTTAGCAGGCATGAAGACATTGCTACAGAGCATGAGAACATGGGACATCGTGACTGCACTCAACAGAAGCCACAAAGACTAAAGGGTCTGAGGAGAATTCATCCATGTTCCACTTTGCCACAGCGAGATCTTGCTGTGATGAGGGAGAAGTTGGAGCCGTGGCACAGCCTGCGCCACCTGTACTAGGCACTAGCACTTGACCTCTTGTTAAGAGACAGTTAAATTTTGACTGTTGTCACTACATAGCTTTAGAGGTACTTCTTCTTAGACTACTTTCTCCTTATAGTTTTCTTACTTTTCTTTAAAACATGCTCTTTTTTTCATGATATGACCCTGAACTTTTCCCTCTTCTTCTCCTGCTGGTTTTGCAGGCAGAATTCAACTGGCAATAATAACTGTAACTTCGGTTTCCTGATTTAGACCCAAGTATTTTCCTAACTCACCAGGACAGGAATGCTGGAAAACCTCAGAAAACTGGGGCTTGACCTGCACTTCAGATTTGCTGCTGTAATACAAATTATACAGGGATGTGAGCATTATGGAATGAGATGCAGAATGGATCAGCACAGATTTGGGAGGTGAAAGGATGTAAGGACTTAAGGGGAACATCTAGGTTGTATCGTCTTAGCCTCTTGGAGGTGAATATTAGGGAGTAGGACCTGAAATGGATCAGCAGAGACTCTGAGGGTTTAAATCCTCAGCAGAACGGACAGAATAGGTGGAGTTTGGGGATACTGTACAAGTACAGAGTCTTTCCACTCACTAACTCCCACTCTTTCCTGCTCACCCTCAGTGTCCAGGACCTTCCACAGTCTGCCTCATCTTCCTGCAGGATCTTCACCCTTTTCCTTTCCCTGATGGAGAAGAGAGTTACCTCTAGTTAACTCCTGGACCCTTCTTTTATGAGAGATAAGGTATAAGGTCTACAGCACACCTTGCAGAAGCTCCTGTCCGTCCTTCCGCTCTTCTTGGGAATATGTCCATTGTAGCAGGTAGGTGATGGGTCCACAGATGGGAACGAGGTGGGGGGGAAGAGCTGGCTAGAAGGACGGGGAGAGCACTGGGTTTGGGAGCCCTTCTGCCATGAGAACAAGGACAGTAACTGCTCTTGGTTTCTAGCCAGTCAAGTAAATCTAAAAGCTGTAATAACAACAAAAAAAAAGATTTTCTAGATCAGAAGACAGGTTGTCAAGATGCAGTCTGTGAACATACCATGGATTGCAAACTGCCCTTTGCTTGGGATCAGAGGTGGAAGCCATACCTCTCACCCAGCCAACAGAGATCAGCTTGGGCAGGAAGCTAAGGCTTTCTACATAGCTCCTACATAGAACATTATTAAAATGTATGATTCAGTTTCATCTGGATATTAAGAACCCAAGAGGACTGGGATAGATTTGTCTGTCAGGCAATACGAAACATGGAGAGCCTTACATTCCCGTTGGGTCCAAGAAACAGTGACACACAACGAGCCTTTTGCTTGGCCCCAAACACTTACTTCAGGAAACATATGTGCGTATATGCCCCAGTGTCTAATTTACACTTTGTGGAATTAATAAAGTACACATACTTGTGTAAGTTACGTGTGTAGAGTATAAATACATCCATGCCATTCAGAAATTGTTTATTTCTTTTTGTTTTATTGATAAAATTTACCAGAACTGCTTCATAAGGGCAAATTCAGTTAAACTGGAGAAAGTGTAAACTAAATAGAAAATTATAAGAATTATGCCATTCCTCAGTCCTTGCACTCAATGATTCTAAACTATTCATAAGAACTGATTTACTGATTTTTTCGAGGTTTGGAGTTTTTTTCCATTTTATGATTAAATTCAAATATGGGCTTTGTCAAGAACTGAATTATTGGTATATGCAAAGTAGATTGTTCTTGTCTTCACTCATTCACAAAATTCATCTGAAATATGACCTTCTTGCAAAAGCATGTAATTATATGGTGTTTGTAGAATTTAATTCAACCATGACATTGGAAAAGATCCTTCATAATTTTGTTGCTTCCTCATATTGATTACTTCATATTTTAAAGTAGTAGAAAGTGTGTATCTGAATCCATCAGTATGCATCTGCATAGCCTTTGACTGAATTAATTGAAGTGTTTTAGGAGCTGCTTTGTTTGTTGAATGAATTGGGAACCAAACCATGATGAATTTATTGCAGTAAGTAGACCTCCCCAAATCTACTTGAAGGGGAGGGGGTTTATTATTATTTTCTAGGTTTTCAGCTTTTGGGGAAGTTCTTTCTTTGAGTAGGATCTCAAGACTGCATATAGTAGTTTCTTACAGGTTTAGTGCCAAATTATGTCTCCATACTCTTCTAACTTTTGCAGATAGGAGTCTGAGCTCAGAAAAATGAAGGATGAAACCCACAACGTGCTCTGTCTTGCAGTTCACAGGCCTGAGCTCAACCTTTGCGCTACAAGGAAATGCATGGAGAAAGGTATTTACAGAAACTGAGTGGGAACCATCCTGGCAACTCAGCAGAGCGTGCCAGGAGAAGTCACTGTGCCTTAACCTAATGCTGTTCAGAAAGAGCTGACTTCTTTTGCCAAGATCTGTCAGCTATGAACTCTCCCAAGGAGTTTGGCACCTTTGCCAGGCCACATCTGCCTTTCCAATGGAAATGTTACACAGACACCCTCCCTTGTCTCACGTACTCCAGTTTGGTCACTAACCAAATGCTTAGAGCGCTCTACGAGGAAGTTGAGGGCTGTTTTCAAAGTCGAAGTGGTATTCAAAACATTGACTTAAAAACGTGTGTCTGTAGCATAAGCTCTAGAAAACTGGTGTTTCTAAGGTGGGCCTCTTTCAGTGTTTTACATTGGAAGATACTGATGTGTAAATGACTACTTATAACTGAAGGGTCTTAGGTCTGAGTCACCCCTGAGTTACCTATCTACTGTGATGGTAATGAAAAACCTTTTAAAAGTTCCTGCGTTATTTTGTGGGAGCCATTATATGGTCCAGACACCAACTGGATTGGCTCCTGTAGTTGAGAAGGGTGAGTTAATTCATAATTTGAGACTGTTGCTTGGAGCTACACAGGATGAAGCTCCAGTCAGCTCTGCAGACCCAGAACTGGATTTTTAAAAACAGTACTTAAACCCTTTTTTTTTTTAATATGAAAGCATTTCACTTTCAAAATATTTCTGTTTAAAGAACTTTTTATTTTGAGATTTCTTCTTATGTATATTAAGGAGACTTCACTTTTAGCTAAAATTCTGTATACACCCCTTCACCTGGCATCAAGGTACTCTTTGTATAATTATTGTGGTTTGTACAGTTTGTACTTTACTGATCCTTTTTGAACGTTATTTTAAAGAAATGGTCACACTCAGAGAGTTGCAGTCCATGGCACAATGTCCAAGTGGAGATCAGCAATTAATATTGTTCCTCAGGGGTGGGTGTTGGGACCAGCACTGTTTAACATCTTTTGGATGGACAGTGGGATTGAGGTGCCACCTCAACAAGTTTGCTGATGACACCAAGCTGTGTAGTGCGGTCAATGTGCTGGAGGGAAGGGATGCCATCCAGAGTGACCTTGATAGGCTTGAGGAGTGGGCCCATGTGAACCTCATGAAGGCCAAGTGCAAGGTCCTGCACCTGAATCAGGGCAGTCTTAAGCACAAATACAGGCTGGGCAGAGAATGGATTGAGGGCAGCCCTGAGGGGAAGGATTTGAGTTGGTGGTTGATGAAAAGCTCAACATAAGCTGGCAATGTGTGCTTGCAGTCCAGAAAGCCAACTGTGTGCTCGGCTGCACCAAAAGGAGTGTGGCCAGCAGGTCAAGGGAGGTGATTCTCTTCCTCTACTCCACTCTCAGGGGACCCCACCTGCAGTCCTGTGTCCAGCTCTGGGGTCCCCAATACAAGAGGTGTGTGGATCTGCTCAAGCAAGTCCAGATGAAGGCCACAGAGATGTTCAGAAGGCTGGAGCACCTCTCCTGTGAAGACAGGCTGAGAGACCTGGGCTTATTGAGCCTGGAGAAGACTCTGGGGAGACCTTGGAGCAGCCTTGCAGTCCCTAAAGGACTTTTCATGAGGGCATGTAAGGATAGGACAAGGGGGAATGGCTTTAAACTGAAAGAGGGTGGGCTTGGATTAGGTATTAGGAAGAATTTTTTTTACTGTGAGGGTGTTGAGGCCCTGGCACAGGTTGTTCAGTGACTGTGGCTGCCCCATCTCTGACAGTGTTCAAGGCCAGGTTGGATGAGGCTTTGAGCATTTTGGTCTAGTGGAAGGTGTCCCTGCCTGTGGCAGGGGTGTTGGGACTAGACGAACCCAAACCATTCTATGGTTGAAGTTAATTTTATACTATGAAATGAAGTTCTAGGCTGAGCAG